TTCCTGGCTTCTGGAAATTCTGTGCAGTATTTCAAATTAAAATGTTTTCACATGAAGATACTGGAATGTTGGTTTTTGCATCAAACAAAAAAAAAAAGGACATAGTGATGCTTCTTGGATTGCTTTTAGAACAAATCTTGCTTGTAGCTTTGAAAATGTTCCCCTACACCCAATGGAAAGCTAAAAATATCTATGAATAAGTTAACACCTGAAAATGTAGGTTTCTGCACATGGTTACATAAATTCTAAAAGGAAATTTTTTCACTATGTTTGAATTTCATGCATAAACCTCCTTGGGAAAAAGTTCCATCCCAGTAACAGCAAGGTTTAGGTTCAAGTAAACATTTTTCTCTGCACATGGCACATAAAAACCCCAATTTCAAACAACTAGACCAATATCCACAGCTTGTTTCTTTTTTACCCACAGTTAATCCCTTAATTCTCAAGTAGGCCACGGCCACAAGCTTTTCTGGTAAACAAATTATGATTTTGTTTGTTTACTTTCATTATAATTACTGACTCAATTGCTTTGAATAAAGCAGTCTAATAGTGGTTGACATAAAAAGTGATATTTTTTTCCCCTCAGGTTTCTTAGTTAATCTCTGATTGATGACATCCAGGGCAAAAAAATGAGCTAAATCATATATTTTTAAAAATTTATTACAATACACAAAAAAAAAAGGATAAAAAATCCAACTCCCAAAACATGGAATTTAGTCCACTGTAAGAAAATAGGTGATTTTAATAATGCTTGTAGAGTTATTTGACCAAAATCTAACAGAAACTAACCCATGCTTAGCTATTCTCTGCTTTTCCTCCATGGTAATTCATCATAATGTATTAATATATATCAGCTTTTCCTACTATTAAGGCTCCATACTGTGACTAATCTCATTCATTTTTACACTCCCTGAAGGAGCTGTTTCATTGTCCTCTGCAAAAGAGCCTTTTACAAACGTCTCCACGGGGCAGATTGACACAAAACCCCCTAATGGCTCCTTGGAATGTTCTGGAGGGTGTCCTGGGGGGGAACATTTAATGGCTTATTTATGTTGTGAACTGCACTCCCCAAACCAGCTGTACCAGGAATGTGGGAAGCGACATTCCAAGGGTAGGTCAGACCACGCTGAGCCAGGATGGCCTTGGATGCAGTAAAACATCTTGGAAATTTGAGTGAAGTGGCTTGTCCTGGGCATGGCCAGGAATGTGCTTGGAAAGCACAGCAACTCGTGCACTGGGAATAACAATGAGAGGGAAAAACCAGCAGATGCTTCTCTGAACCCCCTGAGATTTGGGGTTTAACCCACCCCAGCAGATTTCACAGCTCAGCTTAGTGGAGAGTTTGCTGGAAGAGCCATTTGCTTGGAATATCTCCCTCCTATGGACCTTCTGTGGCTTTCTACAACTGCACATGTTTTAGCACAGTTAAGCACAGCAAATTAAAGAGTGCTTTAATTTGTACCAACCTACATGTTGGCAGGAAAGTTCTGTGACGTTAATAAAAGCTATCAAGCACCAGCAAATCATGAAAACGTTCCTTGTTTCCATATTTCTTGCAAATGACTCTGGCCAACTTAATTCCTTATAGTTTTCTTCTAAGTTCTAACCTCTACTCAGAAAAACAGTAATATTAACACCTGTCAAAAATATTGCAGAACTGGAATTCTTGGTGATTTCTTGGAAGGCATGTGCATGGTATTCTCAAGCCTGAATCATATCAAACAATTATATAGGGCTCAAATGGCAAAAGGAATTTCAAAAACCCAGACAAAGGTCAGTAGGATGATAACTGTATTTCACCTGAATTGTTGCCATTAATTCCTCAAGTTGTTTTGATAGGGTTGTTAAAACCCCATGGCTCATCTAAGGGAATTTGTCTTGGTGGCTAAGCCAGTCCAAAATCACATTTTAATTTGGTTCTGTTGCTATAACATGTGACCTTGCTAAGGCAGAGCTCATCACTCCCAGTGTGCTGAAAATGGAATTATTTGTCTGTTAACATTATCTCTCTGCAAAGGAAAGGCAATGTATCAGATAGTGAAGTTTTAGAGACCGTAACTGGTGAATTTGGAAACTACCATAAAATACCTGCTATTTTTGGGGAATAAAACTTCAAAATCTTCAAGGCATAATCACATTTTCCTGAGTACCTGCATCTCATGGCACTCCTGGAGTCGTTTGCTGGAGCGAATGCTCTGTGCACGCAGTGCACTGGTTGCAGAATGAATCTCTGAACAGCCCTAGAAAGTTTGTGTGTGTGTTTACAGCTCCTCAGTGCAGCTCCTGGTTTTGTCTTCATTGGTTTTGGTTTTTAGAAGTGTTTCTACAGAGATTCGAGGTGCTGGTCTCAGGATGAATTGGGATTTTCAGCTCTCTGCAGGACTTTGTTCCCAGCCCTGATGAGACTCATAAGTGGTTACATCCTGCATGTGTATTCATCTCATGTGTACTCCTATATATGTGTGCAGAGAATCTAAACAAAAATAATAAATACAAAGAAGGAAATGTTATTGTTATCTACAGCAAAGATGTTTCCTGCAAAAACTTTTGTTACTTAAAGTGTCCCAAGCCTGGAAACAAAACTCCACAAAATTTTAAGGTAAAAAGAACTGTTTAAAGTGCTGTTTATTCCACCCCATCTGTCATGTGGCTTTTATTGTTTTGTTTGACTCTATTCTTTGAACCAGATTCAACCTTGACTCTTGGGTCGCTTCTGGAAAGGCACTGGACCAAGGTTCAGTTCCAAAAATTCAATTCTTGGTCTTAGTTCTGTTTTCTTTTGAAGTTCCAAGTTTGGCTTTGGATCTTTCTATGACACAGTTCTGCATCAATAAAATTGCTTGGTTGGTTTTTCAGTTGTTTTGTTTTCTATAAAAAACCAAAAAGTCATCACTTATATTTATCATATTTTAGTAGGATTATTTGGCTTGAGTAAATGTTCTTGTTTTATTTCTGTTCTCTAAGTGTCTGATAGGAGTTTAACCTGAGTGAGGAATAAAGAAATGGTGGTTTGGAGAACAATTTTTAAAATGGTGCTTTTATTTCTGCCTCATTTGAAGTTCAATAAAGCTGTTGCAGTAATTTGATTCTCAGCTGAAGACAAGCAGAAGGCTCATACTTGGACAACCATATATCATCCAGTAATTGTTACTTTATTGAAAATGCTGATTACATGGAACTATCTTGCATACTAAAGCAATCTCTTTACTTCATAACTATGTAAAAGCTCATAAATAAACAAGTCTAATAGCTACAGCAAATGCCACATTTCAAATCTGATTTCTCTCTAGAAAGCATCTTGTTCAAGCCTCTGCTTAAAGGAGGGTCAAGGACTGTCCACTTAGAGGTTCAATATCAAGGATGGAAACTCCACAACATCTCTGTGCAAAAAAGGTTTCCTGATGTTTCAATGGAATTTCCTGCATTTCAGCTGGGCTCCTGTCCTTGGGCAGGTGAGAGTCACAGGCCAGTAGTTCCTCTGATCCTCCTCCTTACACTTCTTGTTTTCTTCCCATCTCAGAAGTCTCCCCTGATCTCCAGAGCCCCCTGTGTTTTCTCTTCTGAATCAGCAGCCAACTTCTGCTGGAGATAATGTCTCCTGATCAATAAAAGCCCTCTGGTACTCTGGGTATCCATCCACTGTCATCACAAACACTCTTGATCTTCACTTTGAAATCACACATTTGAATTGCAGGAAAATTCATTCTCTCCCTGCCTAGTCTTAGTTTAAACTTGGATTTCTCTCGGCAAAATCTTTGTTCTTCCCTCTTCCTTTTGGGTGACTTTTTTCTGAATCTAGAACTCAGGAAATGTTAGGTCTGGTTGCCTTCAGCCAAACATTGTCATTGTAAGTGTAATCGTGATTCATCATCCCCCAGAAACCTCTAATATGAACATCTGTCTGTTAATGAATTGTTTGGCTGAGTCACAAACTTACCAGACAAGGATGGGAAGCCTTTTGTGTTTAGTTGAGTGATTAAGTCCTTTGTTCACTGCCCAGCCCTCACTTAGTTTTCACATCTCACAAGTCTGAGCAATTCCTTCAAGGAAATGCCCTCTCAGGGAGCGAACAGCCTGGTATGATGTGGCAGTGGGATGCAGTTGAACCCTACCTAATATTTACAGAAAAAGGCACTAAATAATTACAGAGAACATTTGCATGAGCAGAAGGCAGAAAGGACACCCTTTGGATGAGTGAGTTGATCAGGACATGTGTGGGGCAGAGAGTATGGGGAAGAAGGGAATGACCTGTTCTTTTGCAGTGTTTAAGACACAGTGTGATGTATATTATAGCAAAGTTATTTTATCATCTATTTATAGACAGAGTGTTTAGGAGCCTTTCTTCAATCCCCTGTAAAAGCAGAGCTTTTGGGGTTTTCTTGGGAACAATGAGGGTGCAATACTTTGTGGTGTTTTTAACAGGATACCTGGGAATGGGCTTAAGGGGCTCAAAGACCACGATGCTGACAATGAAAGCAGTGACCAAACAGCCCTGGAATTGAAGCAGAGTGTGTGATCCCACACTCTGATGGCCAGAGGGGTGTAACTGGGGGTGTTGGCTGTGTCGGGGTCTGACAGTGGAATCCCGATGTAGGAACTGCCTGGAATGTTCTCCTGATTCTCTTGGGAGGGGAAGCTTTAAGCCCCAGTGACAGAAGCTCTGTTACAGTGGCTGATGCTGGTGTTGGTTCATTCCCAGGAGTGGCATGTTTGATTTTATATGTTATTTTATGCTTGTACCTCCAGCTGAGCTGTGGTACAGCCAGGTTTGGTGTTTACCTCTGCACAGTTCTTAGGCTTCACCCTTTAGAAAATCTCTCTCTCTAAATACCAACACAGTGTGACATCCATAATTGGAATCTTATTCAAGCTGCTACATTGATTTAGTTCTGTTGGATAAACTGATGTTAAACTGAATTTACTTAAATTTGTGAAATAACTTATTTCAATCAGATCCACATTACTTGCTTACTCACCCAAAGAATTTCATTGAAGAACAGAGTGGATCAAATTCTCTTCTTACAGAAGCAGTAGCAAATTAGAATAACTCCACCTAAAGCTTTGGAATAAACAAATTTAACATAAATAAATCCCTAGGCCAGAAATACATCTCTGAAACCTGAGCTCACTCTTTCTTTCCCTTGTTCAAAGTAAAATTAAGCAAATGGTTGAATGCCTTCCTAAATCAGGGCAGAAGATTGAAGTCTGATCCACTTAAGCTACTTGCTTAAGCTAAGGTAGAAGTGGAATACCTGGCTTCTTTTTCAAAGTGATAAGTCTATTAGAAAAAGGAACAAAATCTTTCTTTTTCCTTCTTAATTCTCTGTAGAAATTTCCATGTAATATATTCTTAGCATACGTGTATGTACAGAAGTGACTGTTTATATCTGGGTTATCCTGCTCAGTAAGAACAGGCTTCTATTTCCAAATTTCAGTGAATTATTCTTGAGGGAATCTGACATCTTCTAGGAAACCTAGCTGGCAAAAGTAATAAGTAGTAATAAAGCAGAAGGAATCTTCGTAATCTCAAGATTAATGGATAAAATGTTTATGCTGAGGGGTCTCTTCATCAACAAACTGCTGTTTGCACCTATTTGCATTTTAATGGTTACCCTAGTTCTGAAGTTAAAATTACAGACTTTTCCCAGCTGCTCTTTAAATGCTACATTATAATTTTGAGGAAGCATCATACGTAATTATATTTAATAGACACAGAATTGATTGAAACACTTAACAAAAACAAAAAGCCCAGACCTAATTTTGTAAACATGTTATTGTACAGTAACCCCCAATGAGTTTGTTCTTAAATCTCCTAATTAATTTTTAATTAAAAAGCTCAAAGATGCTATTATACTTCTTGTTGTAAATGGCAGTCTTATGTAAGCATAAACGACTTAGCTGCTCAGACAAATATCTCCCATTAAAATCCCTGTTAATGAGAACTCCTGAACACAGTATTCCAGAGATTTAAGCAGTGGCAGCACTAAAATAGTCTAAATATCACATGGGGGGTTGTTATTTTTTACTCCTCCTTTCTTTTTTGATTTTACCAACTCCACAGTAGGTTTGCAGGTGATAAGATGTCCGAATTTCCACTTAGGAGGGTCAATCCTCTCCCCATTGCCATTACCAGACTTCCCATGGCATTAACTAGGAAGTGACAGGGCTGGTCCAACTCACCCCTGTTTATGGGAGGGCAAATGGACACCAGAGCAATAAGTTTTGATGCAGATTTGCTTCATTAAATAGATGAACACTCCTTAATGAAACACCCACCCAGTGAAGAAAAACACACACCAACCAAATTCCCACCATCACCTAGAGAAGAGATGCAGCTTTCCATGAGTTTAGTCCATCTCCTCATTAGATCCAGGCAGAGGATCCGAGGCAGGAGCTGGAACACAGCGTGTTGCTGGAGGGATGGGCTGATGGCACAAATGGAGGATTATTAATAGCAGAAAAACAGCAAGTGCTCCTTTCAGAGAGGCATCTTTAATAGCAGGGGGAAAACACTTGAGACAAAATCTCATTTGCTATGTTTTTCTTACATTTTTAGCCAAGAAGGGATGGGAGGTGGAACTGCAGTGATTTCTATGGTTTAATTATGTCTTCTCGATGGTTATTAACACAGCACAGAAAAGCAGCAGAATTTAGAAGGCTGGAAGTTGTGAGCTCAGTTTTGCAAAGCTGCAGTTTTTATTTTAAAACATGGAAAGTTTTGTTGTTAGGATGAGGGATTAAAAATAATGATGGTTCTCCATAAAATCAATTCCCAGTAGCTTCCCTCTCATAACTTTATCAAGTTCTTGATATTTTGGAAATGGAAGCTGGTACCAAAATCACTCAGGCTCTTTAGAACCGTTACAGAACATTTTTCTGCTGAATTAATACTTCTCTGGTGTTGAAGGCAACAGTTCCAAAACCTTTTTGAGTTCCTGGAATGCTCCAGCTCCTCTCGTATAGCTCAGTGTCTCTGTGATGCTACAAATGAGACGTGTCACAGTCAATATTGCCCGTTGCTAATGGCAGGATTCTACAGCCATGAGTGATTTTGTCATTTTGGTTTTTTTGTTAAGATCTGTAAGAGTTACAGATCATAAGCCTGAGGTGTAAATGGTATTCAAATCACCTGCTCTAAAATTGCCCCCAGGAGAGGTTTACCTTGGAGGGAGCTGGATTATGAGAGTGTGCAGCTCATAGCACTCCAAAGGGAAACTTGTCTTCTCTCTTTCAGAAGCTGCTGCAGCAAATGCAAGAAAACCAGCAAACTGTGTGCTGGAGCTTGACTGTATTTTAGATATTTTTATCACTTACATTATCCTGAGCTTCTACAGGTCTGGGGATTTGAAATTCTCTTCCTTAGCAAACCTCAGACAAATTTTTTCTGTCGGCAGAGGTGGAACAAGTCTCACAGGTGCCATGGTTTGTACTTTCCCAGTGGGAGGAAATCCCTGTTTCCCTTAATACTTCAGAACTTTCTCACGTACAGTTTCTCACAGTCCCACTCTTTCCAATCCATACACAGCTCTAAAGAAAACCAGGGGTATCTGAGTACTGTTTCTGTAGCTTCTCTCCTATTTCTCCCAAAAGCCAGACACTTGGCATCCTTAATCTGTGCATAAACCCTTGTGTTTGGTACTTCAGGCTTTCTGAAAACCCTCAAATTCCATGGCAAGCCAACTACAAAGGCTTGTGTACCATTGTGTCTGAGATGGTGGCAGCTGTTCCTCGTTTGCAGAAGAGATGTTTAAGTGTCTAAGAGAAGCCTATTTCCCATTACATTTAACTCTTAACAATGCCTTTTGCTAATCTGTGGGAGAAAGAAGTTCAGGTCCCATTGTTCCACCTGAGAGGCCCGAAGATGTGATGAAAATCAGTGTAGGAGCAGCCAAAATACTTGGAGGGCTGTGTATGCACTTGAGTATCTCTTCTTTGCCAGAGCTCTGAGCCTCCTGTAAGAGCACCAGCTGTGCAACTTGTCCACCCAGCTGATGGCACTTCAAACCTGCTTAGCTTCAGAAATTACTTGCCTGTGTAATCTAATTTTACCCAATGTTCTGTTTAGAAATAAGTCCATTTACCACTCCCAGATTGTTAGTTTCCTGATTTAATAGTGAACTGTTGAAGAAAAAGCAGTGTTTCTCCCTCATAACTCATGCTTTCATCCCACTTGTTCATACTCCAGTAATTGAAATTACAGTTTTATAATCGTGCAGACATTGATGATTTTGCAAATGGAGGATTATTAATAGCATAAAAACAAGAAGGACCTCTTCTCAAAATGTTATTCCAGCAAAAAAGAACTAGAAAAATATGCTTGATTATTTCTTCACTTTTTTTGTACATTCTTCACATTTTAATTAGGCAGAAAAAGTAGATAAGATTTTCTTTCATCAGCATGAATATTAGTGAATCATAGCAAAAAAGAAACTGATGGAACATATTACAAGTCATAAACTTAAGGGTTTTCAAATTCTCTTGACTTTAAGGTTTAAAAGAACTATTGCGAAAAGAAATACAAATGAAACTTCGTTGGTGCTTCAATATAAATTGGTTGGGGGGGGTTCTGTACATTTAAGTGAAAATTATGTGCTTGATTTAATTTTATAGAAGAGAGAAAAATTTCTGTCTATAGATGCCTTTACTGTTACTTTCCCAAACCTGACATTCCCATAGACTTTGCAACAGGCAGGATCTTCTGGCAGGATCTTTTGGTCTTTTAGCAAATTACAGGTGGTGAGTCTATTCAAACACCCAAAGTATTTGAATATCTGCTTGGAAGGAGAGAGCTGGTCAGGGATTTTGCCTCGTGCTTTGCTGGGAGGTCTGGGGAGCAGAAGTTGGGAGCACCAGTCCAGAGAAGGGGAATAAGGAACAATAAAGACAGTGAGATCACCAGGAGGCAGTTTTAACAGAAAACATTGGAAGCATTTGTTACACATTCCCTGACTACACTGTGAATTACTGGAGGAATGGCATGGCTGCACTCTGTGGATCAGCAAGTCCTGAATGTGCTGACAAAATTGAGAGAAATTACCACTTTTCGTACTTGCCACATTTCTTACAATCTCTTCCTGAGTATTTACTTGATTGGGTACCAGATACAGAGAGAAAGGGAATCTTTGATCTAAGTAATTCCATTTTTAGGAATGCAATTTGACTTTTCCATTGTACTTAAGGTTTTATCTTTGTTTTGTATGTGTATATTTAGCAAAACCTTTAAAAAATCAATCATGTTATGAGCATCCCATTGCTAAGCAACAATGTATTCTTCCCTCCCACAGACCTTCTTGCTGTTCTGTGAAAAATAAGTATAACAAATGTGTAAAAAAAAAAAAGTGGGATGCTTTCCTCCTGATAGAATAATGCACTGAGCAATTCTGGTCACTTATTTCTGAGGCAAACTATTGCTGCCATCTGCTTACAGACTAAAGTAGGAATGGTCTGCATTCTTCTGCATCCCTGAAAGCTGCTCCCGAGATCTCTGCTTGGGCAGAAATTCTGCCACCTGGTATATTTTGGTAGTTTTCATGTCCTGGTGGCTCTGTACAGTTTGGATGCTTTGAGATGACCTAATGCCCCGAGATCTGCACTACAGGACCCCACTGCACTTGCAGAAGAGACCTGTGGCAAATTATAAATCTCTAAATGCACTGGCACACAGTGCATTGGTTTGGGCTCTCCTCTGGGAGTGTCACTGTAAGCTCTGCTGTTTTCATGTTGATCAGAAGACAGGAAAATTGTGGTGGGTAGTAGAGGGGGAAGGAATGTGCTTTGCACTCCTGGAAAATGTTTGTCAAACCATCTGTTGTTCCAGTATTGTTCTGGACTTAAAGCAATTTAAAGACTCTACAGTTCAACAGCCTTAAATGTGTTTTTTTTGTTTGTTTTCTATGGTGCTGCTCTATTGTTTCAGTGCTCTTGTGAGCGCCTTCAAAAGCTACCTGTGCATTCTGTGAATTGTAATTTCACTTTATAATATCAGTGTTGTCTGAACACCACTGAAACTGCTGCAGCAAGGTCACTTTGTAGAACCAAATGCTGGCTAAGTGTTAAATATGATCATGCAGTTGTAGAACCGATTGAACTAGAAATACTCCCTGGCTTGCAGTTTGTGCCTGAACTCGTGCTGTACTTCAGGAAAGCTGTAGGAGTGACAGTCAGGGGGCCCACAGCAAACAACGAGAGAGTAAAACAGTTGCTGTTTGGTGAGTGCCCCTTTCAGAGTTCTTGGGATGCAGGTTGGTCTTTCTAATACTTTGCCAAGAGGCTCCTGTGGTAAGATACAAGTGAGTACTTAAATTTTCAGTGGTGACCTCTTAAAGGTATTCTTAATTCCCTCTTTAGCACAAAGATACATAAAGGCTCTTTAGTTACATGTGTCAGAATGAATTCTGCTTATCTGTGTGAGAAGGCTGTGAAATGAGGTTGGGTGTGAACTTGAACAAGACATCGCACACCAAGGTTTGACGTGAGTGTCCTTATTCCTCCTTCAAGGAGGAGAGCCCTTAGGCTGTTGATTAGTGTGAGATTGCCATTCCAAACCTATGCTCCCTTTTTTGATTAGTTTTTATAAATTTAGAGTGCAGTGCAACAAACCATTTCAAAGTCACTGTACTCCCAAAGATGGCAGCAGGTGGAGTTACACGTTCCAGTGGTCGTACTGGGCGTGTTGGATGGTCATCTTCCAGGATGTAATACGCAAGTCAAGGGCTAAACAGAATTTTTCATTCCCTGGCTTTCAGATCAGACTGATAAACTACCAAACCCTTGTGTATGTGTGAAAATACTATTCTCCTGTGTGCCCAGTTTCCATGGGGGAGTGAAAAGCAGGCAGGCAGTAGAGGAACAGTTTTACCTTCACCTGATGTGTCAGGTGACAACTGAGTTAGCACAGACTGGAAGTAGGTGGTTGCAGAACAAAAGACAGATAATTCCCTTCCCCCTGGAGGGAGGGAGAAGCAGCAGCCACAGTATTGATCTATTCAGAATTTATTCCTCTCTTGTTTCTTCAGTGCTACAACATGATGCACTCTAATCAGAGCAAACAGTTAATATTCTGTTTAACCTACAGCAAAGTAAAAAAAAAAGCCATGTGCCAATGAGGATACAGTCCATAAATCTTCTATCCACGCTCTTCTCATTCATTTTTAATGATCATTTTATGTTTTCACCTTATTTCTTCTTCCTGTATTATTATATACGCAAGGGGGAAGAATGAACAAAGTTAAATTGTTTCTTGGGTTTTGCTGAGCTGCCTGGTGGGGAGATAAAAATAGCAAGTGCCAGTGGCAAAGTCTCCTAAAAAGTGCCAGCACGTTGTGGAAGTGCTAACACATTGTGCTATTGAATCAGCACTGAGAAATCAGATTTTCCTCCCAATGCTTTCTTTAAACTTAAGGTGACCTTTAGGAATGCATTTGCATCAATGTAGAGAACCTTATTACTCTGTTTTATCCAGGACTAAGTCAGCCTGAAAGGAGTTCAGCGGTGGGTCCTGGAAATTCCCTTCATTTTCTCCCAGGCTTGATAGGACATTATTGATTCTGGTACCACGGTAAAGAAGCCACA